TTAGTTGAAGGAATATCAGTACAGCACAAACAACAACAACAACTTGGCCAAACAGATTATCGCCTTTTTTCTTCCTTCTTTATTACTACTGCTTTTGATAAGTAAAAAATTTTTATTTTTTTTTTTATTTATTCTACAATTTTCTTGACGTTAAAAACTTGAGCTCATTTGTCGTCGCAGAATTATTCGGCAATTGTAGGCTTTCTTAACATTTTTAAATATTACAACTATCAGTTGCATGAATTTTAGCCTTTCGAGTGTTACGGTATGTAATTGCCAGCGAGTATCTTGGACGACAATGATTTATAGCAAAAATGGTTGATATTGAATGCTGCTTGAATTAGAGTTGCTTGACGAAGGATGAGTCTGATGATAGTTTTGTTTCGACATATATAAATCTATAAAAGCCGAACGAAGACTGTTTTAGAACTGCAACACTGAGCTATTTTTCTGTTGATTAAAGCTTATCTAAAAGGGACTGAAAAAAAATATTTTACCTATAACAACGTGTGCTTTACATTTGGCGGACAATTAGGCTTAAAACTTTGAACTACCAGGATCAGTTTACTTTGTTAGCTATACTCTATCAAAGAAGTATTACTTTAGTTTATGCTTACATATCATTAGCCACATTTGGTTGTGGTCGTTGTTGGATTCTTGGCTGCTAAACAGATTACTCTGTGCTGTTTATGATAAATGGGTTTTGTATTGTAATTAACGGTCCTGCTTCTATTCATGATATCCGCTTTTATGTTTGCTTTTAATTCTTCCAAAATATCTGTTTATGTATTCGGAAGTAATAGAATACAGTTATTTTATGCTGACAAAAGATATGATAAAAAAATTTTTGACATACAAATTATTTTTGAATGCTATTCTTTTAAAAATAATTCTTTTCTTTTCATGCAGCTTCAATTTTTGCAGTACCAATGTCTACATTGTTGTTTATTATCATTCAGAGGTTACAGTAAGTAAATTTAGAAAAAAACTACAAAAAATTTCTTTTTGCTGTTATAAATATTGCAGAAAAAAAAGATATATATAGGTATACGATTGAATGCAATTTATTTAATTCAGTTAATCTAATTTTATGCTTTTAGAAAACTGTTACTGTCATAACTAAACAGTAGCTCATTTTTTAGATTGATCTTATAGTTGAATGTATAATCTGCTTGTTGAGCAGCAATATAAGTTGCGTTAAAAACTTATCTACTTTTATGGTAGACAATTGATATGTAATAAAAATTATAAATTTAATTTAAACAATGTAATTTATTTGCCAAGTGGAATACACCTGTATTACTTTTCTAAACTGTCGTTTAAGCATAAAAAACCAACAACGTCTGTTTTGACAAGCTTTAGTATCAATCCGAAAAATTCTCTGCGTAACAGTAACCTTCTGCTGAAAAAAAAATTTTTTTTTTAGCAACTTTTAAGTGAATATTAACAGCTTTCAGGAGGTTAATGTGGGAGAAATACAGTGTTTTTTTAAAACTATGTTTTATTTGCTACTTAAGTTGAAAAACTTTAAGTACAGTGATAATTTAAGGTTAAGTAATTTAAAGTACTGATAGTCCTGAAGCTGTTGAATAAGTTTTACCAGCATTCTGATACTTGGTGAAACATCTAAAAAGGATTTTCAACCTGTTAATTACCAAAAGCAATCTTTTTTTTTAATTGAATTTTTTTCGACCATTATTCAACTTAAATATATTCAGTGTTTGTTTATATCGTCTCCAGATGCTTCAGAAACCAAAATTTTACTCCGTATTCTTTTTGAAAAACATTCTTACGCTTCTAAGCAACCAGAAAAAAGTTGACTGTTAATCTACAGTAAAGAGTACTTTAGTTCAAAAAAACAAAAAAAATGTACATTTTATAATAAAACATTTTTTTTTTTTTGCATTTTTTTACGTTAACTTTTTTTTTTTTTTTAAAATTAATTGACCAATTTTTATTGGAACTTTTAGCATAACCTTTGAACAAAAAAAAATAAAAAAAAATAAAAAAATAAAAGAAAGTTGAGAAGAAATGAGGGCAGAAAAACAAAACACAGAAAATAAATTTTATAAGTTCAATTTGAAAAAAT